ATATTGCATTAAAATCACCCCTGACAGATGGCCATCCAGCCTCTGTTTAAAAGCTTCCAAAGAAGGAGTCTCCACCACACTCCAGGGCAGAGAGTTCCACTGCTGAACGGCTCTCACAGTCAGGAAGTTCTTCCTCATGTTCAGATGGAATCTCCTCTCTTGTAGTTTGAAGCCATTGTTCCATTGCGTCCTAGTCTCCAAGGAAGCAGAAAACAAGCTTGCTCCCTCCTCCTCCCTGTGGCTTCCTCTCACATATTTATACATGGCTATCATATCTCCTCTCAGCCTTCTCTTCTTCAGGCTAAACATGCCCAGTTCCCTAAGCCGCTCCTCATATGGCTTGTTCTCCAGACCCTTGATCATTTTAGTCGCCCTCCTCTGGACACATTCCAGCTTGTCAATATCTCTCTTGAATTGTGGTGCCCAGAATTGGACACAATATTCCAGGTGTGGTCTAACCAAAGCAGAATAGAGGGGTAGCATTACTTCCCTAGATCTAGACACTATGCTCCTATTGATGTAGGCCAAAATCCCATTGGCTTTTTTTGCTGCCACATCACATTGTTGGCTCATGTTTAACTTGTTGTCCACGAGGACTCCAAGATCTTTTTCACACGTACTGCTCTCGAGCCAGGCATTGTCCCCCATTCTGTATCTTTGCATTTCATTTTTTCTGCCAAAGTGGAGTATCTTGCATTTGTCACTGTTGAACTTCATTTTGTTAGTTTTGGCCCATCTCTCTAATCTGTCAAGATCGTTATGAATTCTGCTCCTGTCCTCTGGACTATTGGCTATCCCTCCCAATTTGGTGTCGTCTGCAAACTTGATGATCATGCCTTCTAACCCTTCATCTAAGTCATTAATAAAGATGTTGAACAGGACCGGGCCCAGGACGGAACCCTGCGGCACTCCGCTCGTCACTTCTTTCCAGATGAAGAGGAAGCATTAGTGAGCACTCTCTGGGTTCGTCCACTTAACCAATTACAGATCCACCTCACCGTAGTTTTGCCTAGCCCACATTGGACTAGTTTCCTTGCCAGAAGGTCATGGGGGACCTTGTCGAAGGCCTTACTGAAATCCAGGTACGCTACATCCACGGCATTCCCCGCATCTACCCAGCTTGTAGCTCTATCGAAGAAAGAGATCAGATTAGTCTGGCATGACTTGTTTTTGATAAATCCATGTTGACTATTAGCGCATGACTGCATTTGTTTCTAAGTGTTTGCAGACCGCTTCCTTAACAATCTTTTCCAGAATCTTGCCCGGTATCGAAGTGAGGCTGACCGGACGGTAGTTGTTTGGGTCATCCTTTTTTCCTTCTTGAAGATTGGGACCACATTGGCCCTCCTCCAATCTGCTGGAACTTCTCCTGTCTCCAAGAACTCTCAAAGATGGTTTGCCAATGGTTCCGAAATGACTTCCGCTAGTTCCTTCAATACTCTGGGGTGTAGTTGATCTGGCCCTGGGACTTGAACTCATTAAGAGCGGCCAGGTATTCCTGGACGACTTCTTTCCCAATTTGGGGTTGGATGTCCTCCAATCCCTCATCCACTCCATCTTGCTGAGGTTGAAGACTCTCTTTTTGTGAGAAGACCGAGGCAAAGAAGGCATTAAGTAGTTCTGCCTTTTCCCTATCCCCTGTCAGCATTGCCCCATCTTCTCCTCGAAGAGGTCCTATCGCCTCCTTGTTTTTCCTTTTTCTACTGACATAAGAATAGAAGCCCTTTTTATTGTTTTTAATGTCCCTGGCAAGTCTGAGCTCGTTTTTTGCTTTAGCCTTGCGGACCTTTTCCCTACAGCTGTTGGCTATTTGTTTGAATTCTTCTTTGGTGATTTCTCCCTTTTTCCACTTCTTGTGCATGTCTCTTTTGTGTCTTAGCACAGTTAGAAGTTCTTTGGACATCCATTCTGGCTTCTTTGCACTTGTCCTATTTTTTCTCTTTGTTGGCACGGTTTGCAATTGCGCCTTGAGTATTTCACTCTTGAGAAATTCCCATCCATCCGTAACTCCCTTGTCTTTTAGTATCTGTGTCCACGGAATGCTGCTCAGCGTTTCCTTCATTTTTTGGAGGCAATGAGTTCCACAGAATTGGAACATAGTTCGAAAAAGCACTACGCCTTGTAGTTCCCAAATGTGCCTCCCTAGGACCCGGTATGTAGAGGAGATTTTCCTGGGTGGATCGAGGTGACCACTGATGGGGAAAAGGAATGAGGCGGTCCCTAAGATATAAAGGTCCTTGGCCATTTTGAGCTCTAAATGTCAGGATCAGGATCTTGTAAGAGATCTGATGTTCTATTGGTAGCCAATGCAGTTGTTGCAGAATCGGTGTAATATTGAGTATCCATGCCAAGTTTGGTCCAAATTTATCATTGTTTATTTCTACAGTGCTCTCTGGATGTAGGTGAACTACAGCTCCAAAACTCAAGGGCAATGCCCACCAAACCCTTCCAGTATTTTCTGTTGGCCATGGGAGTTCTGTGTGCCAAGTTTGCTTCAATTCCATCGTTGGTGGAGTTCAGAATGCTCTTTGATTGTAGATGAACTATAAATCCCAGCAACTACAACTCCCAAATGACAAAATCAATCCACCCCCCAACCCAACCTGCATTCACAATTTGGGTTGCGGGTATTTGTGTCACGTTGTGAAAGCCACCACAACAACTTTATTAAGGGCTTGCGGTATTAGAAAGATGAATTCGGGTTATCCGTAGTTTACAATAATGCTGTAAATCCACTCAAATTTAGCACCTTTTCCCCCTTGGCAAAGCATGTTTCTATATCTGATTAGGGATGGAGCAATTGCAAAATAAGCTTTCCATTGCTAACAAATAGGCAATCGGTGGAAGGCAGCTTAGAGGAGATTGCCTCCAGCTCAAAGCTTGATTGGAGCCAAGGTAGCTCTTAATAGGGTGCATCTACACTGTAGAATTCATCCAGTGTGGTACCACTTGAACTGCAATATATATATATAAAAATTGAATTCAGATTTATTTACTTAGGTGATTCCTTGTTGTCTGAGTAGGATAGTCTTCCAAGATCGGTGTACTGGCGGTAGGTCCGTAGGTGACTGTGGAGCCCTATTCTTGACCTGCATCCCCACAGTGAGGGCATTGGTTTCCAGGTGGAAGGCAGTCCCGGTCAGGGTTGGCTTGACGCGCCTTCCTCTTGGCACGTTTCTCTCTTTCGCCCTCCATTTGTGCCTCTTCAAATTCTGCAGCACTGCTGGTCACAGCTGACCTCCAGCTGGAGCGCTCAAGGGCCAGGGCTTCCCAGTTCTCAGTGTCTATGCCAGAGTTTTTAAGGTTGGCTTTGATTCCATCTTTCAATCTCTTTTCCTGCCCTCCAACATTCCATTTTCCGTTCTTGAGTTGAGAGTAGAGCAACTGCTTTGGGAGACGGTGGTTGGGCATCTGGACAACATGGCCAGTCCAGCAGAGTTGATGGCGGAGGACCATCGCTTCAATGCTGGTGGTCTTTGCTTCTTCCAGCACACTGACATCGTAGGCCGAGGATGATGGTCCTCCAAGTGTAATATCGTGGCAGTGGGTCTTTAGGTGACTGTGTAGCCCTATTCTTGATCTGCATCTTCTCCCACAGTGAGGGTGACATGGCCAGTGAGGGCGACATGGCCAGACAACATGGCCAGTCCAGTGGAGTTGATGGCAGAGGACCATCGCTTCAATGCTGGTGGTCTTTGCTTCTTCCAGAACGCTGACGTTTGTCCACTTGTCTTCCCAAGAGATTCTCAGGAGGCAGCGCTGATGGAATCATTCCAGGAGTTGCATGTGATGTCTGTAGATAGTCCACATCTCGCAGGCGTATAGCAGGGTTGGGAAGACAATAGCTTTATAAACAAGCACCTTGGTATCCCTACAAATGTCCCGGTTCTCAAACACTCTCTGCTTCATTCAGAAAAATGCTGCACTCACAGAGCTCAGGTAGTATTGAATTTCAGTGTCAATGTTGACTTTGATGGAGAGGTGGCTGCAAAGGTAGCGGAAATGGTCCACATTTTCTAATGTTACACCATTAAGCTGTATTTCTGGCATTGGAGAGGGAATGGCTGGTGACTGCTGGAAGAGCACTTTGGTTTTCTCGATGTTTAATGACAAGCCAAGCTGCTCATATGCTTCTGCGAAGGTGTTTAGAATGGCTTGTAGATCTTCTTCTGAATGTGCACAGATGATGTTGTCATCAGCATACTGGAGTTCTATAATAGATGTTGTTGTAACCATGGTTTTGGCTTTCAGTCTGCTGAGGTTCCGTTTTCTGTTCTTGAGTTCAGAGTAGAGCAACTGGCTTGGGAGATGGTGATTGGGGATCCGGACAATGTGGCCAGTCCAGCGGAGTTGATCAACTGCAACTCGCTTCTGGTGTGAGAGAATTGGCCGTCTGCAAGGACGTTGCCCAGGGGACGTCTGGATGAATTGATGTTTTTATCATCCTTGTGGGAGGCTTCTCTCATGTCCTCGCATGAGGACCTGGAGCTGATAGAGGGAGCTCATCCGTCTCCCCCCGGATTCGAACCTGCGACCTGTCGGTCTTCAGTCCTGCCGGCACAGGGGTTTAACCCACTGCGCCACTGGGGACTCCGAGTTGCAGTTGCTCAAGTCGCTCCTGACATGACCAAAAAAAAAAAAAAGCGGAGTTGATGGTGGAGGACCATCACTTCAATGCTGGTGGTCTTTGCTTCTTCCAGCATGCTGATATTTGTCCGCCTGTCTTCCCAAGATTTATTGTATCCCAAGTTTTAAAAAGGATTGGAACATCCCATTGTGTGTCAAGAATTCATGAGTATTCATTTCAGTTCTTGGAAAATCCCTGTAGAAACGGCAGGGCAAAAGTTTCAGCTAGATTTCCATCTGTGTCGACTGAAATTCTTTTGTATGCCCCACAGCAGTCTTGGGCTCCTTCCAACACTGGACTTTATAAGTTTCCTTGAGATGTTGATCAATACCTTGTGGTCACCAATTTCCCACTGTCTTTTATGGTCTTCTAGGGAGATGACATCTTGGACCGCAGTTCCGAACTGATCTACACAGGAGAAATGTCCTGGATCTATCAGCCCTACGGACGAAGCCAGCAGCGTGTGTTCTTCCTCTTCGATCACCAGATGGTTCTCTGCAAAAAGGTAAGGAGACCTTCCATTTCCCTCTGGATGCAGGAATGGCTGGATCATTGGTTGCTTGATCGACCACAAGTGAGCTATAACCCAACCACGGGATGCAGTATCCAAGCCAGCGTTTCTCAACCTGGGGATGGGGACCCCTGGGGAGGGTCACAAGGGGGTGTCAGCGGGGTTGGCAAAGACCATAAGAAAATACAGTATTTCCTGTTGGTCATGGGGGTTCTATGTGGGAAGTTGGGCCCAATTCTATTGTTGGTAGGGCTCAGAATGCTGTTTGATTGTAGGTGAACTATAAATCCCAGTTACTCATATGGGAGTTACCGGATGCAGAATGATACTATTCTTAAGATAGACCCTCTTTCCACACCCCAAGCATATATATCAGTGTTTATCAACCTGGGGTCACAAGGGGGTGCCATAAGGGTCAACAAAGACCATCAGAAAACATAGTATTTTCTGTTGGTCATAGGGTTTCTGTGTGGGAAGTTTGGCCCAATTATATAGTTGGTGGGGTTTAGAATGCTGTTTGATTGTGGGTGAACTATAAATCCCAGTTACTACAACCCCCAAATGTCAAGGTCTGTTTTCCCCCAGACTCCACCAGTGTTCACATTTGGGCATATTGAATTTTCATGCCAAGTTTGGTCTAGCTCTCTGGCTGTAGGTGAACTACAACTCCAAAACTCAAGGTCAATGCCCACCAAACTCTTCCAGTATTTTCTGTTGGTTGTGGGAGTTCTGTGTGCCAAGTTTGATTCATTTCCGTTGTTGATGGAGTTCAGAGTGCTCTTTGATTGTAGGTGAACTAGAAATCCCAGCAACTCCAATTCCCAAATGATAAAATCAGTCCCACCCAACCCCACCAGTATTCAAATTTGGGCATATCGGATATTTGTGCCAAATTTCGTCCAGTGACTGAAAATATATCCTGCATATCAGATACAGTATTTACATTACAGTTGTGAAGTAGCAACAAAAATAATTTTATGGTTGAGGGTCACCACACATGAGGAACTATATTAAGGGGTTGAGGAAGGTTGAGTACCACTGATCTAAGCAATGGTTACACAAACATAACTTCCAGATCAAAAGATATGGAACAGTCTGACTCTATTCCGGTTTGGTCAGCTAGAATACTTTCTCTAGTTTTGGGAAGAAAAGTTGGAGGAGGATATTGATAACTGGAGCCTATGTCCGAAAGAAAGTGAACCAAATATTGAATATTCTGGAAGCCAAGCTTCACGAGGAACAATTGAGGGAGTCAAATATATCTACTTTGAAGTAAGTATTGTTGCCTTTTTTGAAGGGATTTTATGTAGAAGATGGAGTAAGCATGGTTTCTCATGCTTCGGAGACGAAGACTCAAAGGCCCCATTTACACTGACCATTTAATGCAATTCGGGGCAGGTAAACAGCATTATGTGCTGGGTAGCCATCTAGAATGAATGAATGCTTTAGTGTGGATTGGTTTTTTTTGTCGTGTCAGGAGTGACTTGAGAAACTGCAAGTTGCTTCTGGTGTGAGAGAATTGGTCGTCTGCAAGGACGTTGCCCAGGGGATGCCAGGATGTTTTTGATGCTTGACCATCCTTGTGGGAGGCTTCTCTCATGTCCCTGCATGGGGAGCCGGAGCTGACAGAGGGAGCTCATCTGCGCTCTCCCCGGATTCGAATCTGCGAGCTGTTGGTCTTCAGTCCTGCCTGTGCCACCGAGGGCTCCGTGTGGATTGGTTGAGGAGGTGGACTAGCTAGCCCTGTAGATCTTAAGGATGTCTACTTTCATATTGCTGTTCATTTTCATGGTTCTGTTATATCTGTTGGGTTAAACTTAGTCTGAGGCCAAGATTTAAAGTGCACCTACACTGTAGAATTAATGCAGTTTGACAGCCTTTGAACTACCATAACTCATGAGAGTGATGGTTTAGTGAGACACCTGCACACTTTGGTTCAAGACTCTTACGAAACTCCCGGGATTCCATTGCATGGGCCATGGTAGCCTTAAGTAGCCTCAAACTGCACTAATACTATAGTGTAGATCAGGGGTCCTCAAACTTTTTAAACAGAGGGCCAGGTCACAGTCCCTAAAACTGTTGGAGCGCCGGATTATAATTTGAAAAAAKCATGGATGAATTCCTATGCACACTGCACATATCTTATTTGCAGTGCAAAAAAAAKAAAAAAAACAACAATTAAAAACAATACAATAATTAAAATGAAGAACAATTTTAACAAATATAAACATATTAGTATTTCAATTGGAAGTGTGGGCCTATTTTTGGCTGATGAGATAGAATTGTTGTTGTTGTTGTTGTTGTTGTGTGCTTTCGAGTCATTTCAGACTTAGGTTGACCCTGAGTGAGGGCCGGGTAAATGACCTTGGAGGGCCGCATCCGGCCCCCGGGCCTTAGTTTGAGGACCCCTGGTGTAGATGCATTCTCCGTTGTCTACTTGACCCCTCTAAAGYTATTTATTATTATTCATTTTTTATTTACAGTATTTATATTCTGCCCTTCTCACCCCGTAAGGGACTCAGGGTAGATTACAYTGTACATATACACAGCAAGCATTCAATGCCATAGACACACAACATATATAGACAGACAATCAGAGGCTATTTAACATTCCAGCTTTTCATGAGGGTATTCTGGCCACCAGGGGAGCTGTTGCTTCACTGTCCATTTGTGACACCGATGAAGTACTTCTTTGTTCTTTGCATGGTTGCTGGAGATTTTTATGGCCTTGTAAATTAGTTAAATTAGCTTCCCCGCAAAAGCGGTACCTAAATTTCCTACTTGACAGATGCAACTATCTTTCGGGCTGCAAAGGTCGACATCAAGCTACACAAATTGTTCGGAAGCTCACTCCGACCGTGCTGGCTTCGAACTCATGACCTTTCAGTCAGTAGTGATCTTATTGCAGCTGTGCCACAGTCCACAGATATATTCAGAGCACCCTTCTACTGCCAGGAATTAAGCATTTATTTCATATTTAAAGTATCTTTTGTTTACTGCCAATTTTCTTGTTTGTTATCCATGATGCAATGGGGGATGCACATTGGCCATTTTTGGAATCGACGTGAATCAAGTAGCACGGACAAATAGTCATGGAGCATCCATGACTCTTTGTCCAAGAATGAACAACAAAAGCATGAAACATTTGTTGAATTCCTCTTATGCAACTCTGACTTTAAAAGCACATGATGTTTAAGGGAACCTGCACATGCACAGGATACCGACAGGACTTTATGTTCTAGCCACGTCTCATTAAGTCCTTGGAGGGCGGGGGAGCGCGATATCATGCCGCGGACGGGGATCGCATCAGGACGTCGCACATTCTTGCCACCAGGGATTCCACGTAATGGAGAAAGCGGCGGCTTCCTCTGACACGTTAGCGTTTGAATTCCCCGTCTTCGGTGCCTCTGTCTTTCATGTTGATGTTTATTAATTTTAATAAGGCCTCTTCTTGTCAAGGTGTCGAAAGTTCAATCTCAGAGCCTGCGGTGGAACAGAGTAGTTCTCTTTCCCAGACAAAAAGTGGTCCTTTTGGATTGTTCAATTAACTTTGATGTGATGGAATTGGGTTCTTCACTCTTCCCCTTATTTGCTTCCTGTTTGCAAGTCGGGGTGCATTTGGGTGACTCATGCCCTCACTCCATTGTAACGCTGCAACATAACAATACCTGGCAAGCTTTATCATGCCATTGTTATGGTTTCTAAAATCATAGACTCATAGAGCTGGAAGAGACCTCGTGGGCCATCCAGTCCAACCCCATTCTGCCAAGAAGCAGGAAAATCGAATGCAATCGAATGCCTGACAGATGGCCATCTTTGTTGTTGTTCATTCGTTCAGTCATCTCCGACTCTTCGTGACCTCATGGACCAGCCCAC